GAGAAGTTCATCTCTGTTAAATTCCTCTCAGCTGCAGGAATTCAAAAATCAAACATTTTTGATTTGCAGAAACGTTTGAGAAAGTGTGTGTGTGTGTGTGTGTGTGTGTGTGTGTGTGTGTGTGTGTTTGTTTTAGTGAGGGTGCATTAATATTCTGATCCAGACCCGGTCCACCACATTAAGCTTTAATACCAGCCCAGAGACCTGTGTTTCAACTCAGCCAGAGCAGGAACGCTCTCAGCTGTGATGTTTACGTACACACGCTGATAAATATGGAAATTTCTCTGTCTCAGTGATGCAGCAGTGAACATGCAAACGACTCTCCCTCAGACACACACACTCTTGAAGTTGAGGTGTTTCTGTGAAGCTCTGCCATATGTCTTGTGGGATTTAAATGGAAGTTGACAGGAGCAAACCTCCCAGGTGCCCCCCCCCCCCCCCCCCCCCCCCGATCGACTTGTGTGTTACAAACTTTAATGCACCCCCTCTGGGACTCGGCTCCCTGACCTCTGCCTGGCCGGCCCTCATGGAGATCTCTGAAGCTGTTGTTGTATGAATATGAAGCCAAAGGAGCTTCGAGCAAATGCCACACATATTCTCTGATTGTGCCTCAGTGAATTGTGTCTGGAGAACCTCCAGAGAGATCCAGCCCAATCCCATTCCACCTTAGCTGGCTAATTATCAATAATTAGGAGCAGCGGTTCTGCTCTTGAGTTCCTCCCAGATTGTGGAGCTCCTGTTTATTTCTAAGGCCGGACATCCATCCTCTGGAGGATGCTTACATCAGCTGCCTGCTTCAGTTATGATCTGACACTAGAAGGTTCCCTGACTCTCCTCTGGTTGAAGAGTGATCCACCCTTTTCTGGATGGAAACCACATCAGATTTTGAGGAGCCCACCCCGGTGCACGCTGAACGTCACACCTCATCTGCAAAAAGCAGAGAGAAGCAAAAGGAATGAAAGTAACATCAGCTGATGATCATCCCACCACCTTCATGTGGATGTATCTCTGCAGCGTTCACGGTCAGGATCAGTTCCTCCTCATTTGTAGAACATTGGACGAACTTATGTTTGGCCTACTGCTGTCTTTGTCCACCTTCCCTCACAAAGTGTGTCTGTAAAGGAGACACACTAAATAACAGCAACACCGAGCTGCCAATTACCAGCAATATTCTGTTGTCTGGCTGCGAGCAGAGCTCTCCAGCTGTATTACTTTCTGTGTGAAATATTTTGTTATGTGGATCCGGGCTTGTCTTCTGATATGAAAGCAAACACTTTTCACGGGTGTAAACCAGAGCTTGGGGTCTGCTCTGCGAGGCTTCATATTGATCCGTCACTCCTGAAACTATTTAGTGTCTTCTACTGAGGAAACCATTTTACTTTACAACGAGCAACACTTTATTTCCAGCTAAAATGTTCTGAGCGATTCTCTGCAGGACACATTGGTTTTTAATTCTGACTTTAAAGCGTATCCTCAGAGTCTGGCGCACTCCTCGCACGGTTTCTTTCTCGCATTTAAAACAGAAAAATGGCTCCTAATTTACACGTTTCTTCAATACTCATTTTGTGGTAAAAAATACCTGAGAAGTTAGAGGTAATTTGATGAGATTCATGCATGAGAAAAATGTGCAATCAGACACTTATCACAGTTGTTTTTGCTAATCGATGCAAAGAGCACAGCTCAGCTGATTGGAAGTAAATATAAAAGTGGAGGGATGAAAGTGATGATGCACCAGGATTTAGGGATTAAAAGTGAATAAAGCACACAAAGCTGCAGTGAAACTGATAAAACTCTTTTGATTCTTTGCGGTAAGTGTTGAAATCATGTGCTTTTTTAACCCTAACATGCAGCTTTGCTGCACACCCATACATTTCTACACACACTCCGATGCTCTTCATCTTCCAGTGAATGCAGAGTAAATCTTCCTGTGAGCGCAGATGTTGGGGCAGCGAGGTGAACACCAGGCAGCTCATTCAGGACCAACACAGCACCCAGCAGCTGAGGAGGCGTGATGACGGATTAATCAGTCAGAAAATTGTGCTTTAAGAAGATCAGTGAGCGGGATGAAGGCCAAATATCTGATTAAGACTCTGTGATTTCTCTTCTTCCAGTTCAGCTGAAGCTAAATCAGCTCTCCTTGCTCAGTGGGTTGGGTACAGAAATGTGCGGCGATGATCCGGTTTGTTATTGTGATCTTTTAGTGGCAGAAACACGGATGTTGGAGAGGTCGCTGTGACAAGAATTAACTTCTCAGCTCTGATTGCAGCGTGCCAAGTCAGTGGAGAGCTAAAGGAATCACCACAGTGGTGAAGACAGGTGGTTGTGAAGTAAAAACTGTTTAAATAAGAGGAAGTATATGAAATAAAACCGATCTGCGGTGATTTACATCACCAGCTTTGCTTTGATGGTTCTTGGCATCTATTTTAATGTGTTTATTCTGACGTAATCACCACCTCTATCGTCCTGGCCGGGTTGATGTTTGATGGGATGGGTTTAAACTAGGGCTGCACGATATTAGAAAAACCTGCAATATGCGATAACAGTGATTAATATTGCGATGACGATATTACTTGCAATAAATAAAAATTTTACTCAGGAACAAAAAATAATCAAAAACAAAGAAATCAAAAAATGACAAAAAAAATCATAAAAATGAGAAAAGCTAAAATGTGAGGAAAGGGATAAAGAAAATGAACAAGTAAAGGCAATTAGTGGATCCCGGGAAAAGCGGAATCAGCAGAAAGAGCAGAACAAAGCTAACTCTGGTGTTTGCGAACCATCGAGATTAAGTGCCGTCCGCCTCGGGGGCGGGACTCTAACCTATGAGAACCCATCCAGGTGGCCAAATGGGTGACGAGCTCTATTTGATTTGTTAAAAAAACATCATGCTTCCGTTTGATTGACAGAATGCATTATGTGTAGCAAACATTTGAGCTGACCATTCATTGCGATATTTATCTGTTCTTTGCGATATGCATATTGCTCATGCTGATGTCGCGATAACGATGTATTTGCGATATATTGTGCAGCTCTAGTTTAAACTCGCAAAGACTCAAGTTTAGTAGATTTAGCTCCCGAACCAGCATCGCAAAAGGTGAAGACCTTCTTCTGCTCATGTTTATCTCCCTCAGTGGCAAAGGGAGCATCTGACATCTTATTTTGTTCTCTTCCGTTTTCACACCAAAGGTGTGGTGACCGGCAGGGATACGCCAGATGCACTCATCATGAGGATGAAACACACACACGCACGCACGCACGCACGCACGCACGCACACACACACACACACACACACACACACACACGTCTACTGGTGAGGTAGGAAGGGACAGTTGATCCCCAGACAGATTAGGCTGTTATCAGAAATCTCCTCGGGCCAGCCCTGAAATCTCTCTCTCTCTCTCTCTCTCTCTCTCTCTCTCTCTCTCTCTCTCTCTCTCTCTCTCTCTCTCTCTCTCTCTCTCTCTCTCTCTCTCTCGCACACACACACGCACACGCACACACACACACACACGCACACACACACACTTCTTACAGATGGAAGCAAAAATACTCTATAGGTGGGAATATTTTTAGACAAACTGGGTTGTATCTTGTAAATGGATAGAAGTTTTCTCCATAGGTGTACGTAGATCTGTTTTCTTCTGAAACCAACATCTATAAACGTTGATGTCTAGTGGTCAGTTCTGGATCTTAATGTGGTTACTCTGGTTGTTAAAGCCTATTTGAAAGGATAAAATTGCAAGAAAAATGCAAATGTAGAGACATTTTTGTAATATGTTTTATTTGAGATGTGTTTGCTGATAATTTGTCACATTTTAGTCCCAAAACCATGTGTGATGTGCCCTCTTTTTTTGGTTGTCTTGCATTTCATTCACTTCTGACTAGTGGAAACAGAACCCAGAGGTTCTCCACACAGATTCCAGGCTTGTGAAAGTTCTGCAACTAGTTTGAGGGAACATTAGTGTCATGAACTCTTTTGAACATTTTGATAATCCAGCTGCAGGAAAACAAGGCTTTTCAACTAAAACAAGGGAATGGAGAGTTTTCAAAGTTCTCATGGAGAAAGTTTGTATTTTGTCACCAATCTGATCATGTTCAATGATCCAGCTGCAGGAAAACGCTAGATAACTACTTTGTCACCAGTAGTTTAAGCAAAGTGAGGTAGTGAAGGTGGATTGTACCAAAGCATCATGAGAAGATAGTGAAACAGCAGATCCAGTAGTCCACATAATTCTTAGTTTTAGCTCTGCATCACCTAGCATGAAATCTGATGCAGTTCCTTTACTTTCGAGATACTGTTAAGTGAAAATGTCCCTACCTCCAGCCTCTTCTGCTTTGAGTAGTTTAATATTTTCTTTTGCCAATTCTACAGCGAACATATAGGAAAGCAGAGCCTGCACAGTACCAGTGCACTCTTCTCTTTTTAGTTTTAGAAAACGGTGGCTAAAAAAAGTTTTACGCATGCTCGAAAGTTTTTGAGAGCAGGTGGTTGGAGGAGTTGAGGATGGATTTACAATATTTAATAATTTGGTGCATTTTGAAACCAGTTTCAGACGTTCTCTCTGGAGATATTTACTCCTCTGGTTCTAAAATATTATTCAGATGCATTATATTCCTCGCTCACAGCTTTTTAGCAATAAATATTAGTAGTTGCCCCAAAATGCTCATGGATTCAAAAGTACACCCTTAACTAGAGGTAACTGTGAATGAACAAATCTGATTTTATATCTAGAGAATAAATAGATTAAATGTGTCAAGGACCACTGACGAAACATCAGCTCTGCAGTGTTTTCTGCAGCAAATGCAAAAGCTGTGTGTTCGCCAAAGATTGCTGCTTTAGATTCTTGTTGGTGGAAGTGGCCATAAAGTGGACAATTTAGAGTTATTTTGGTCATTTTACTTTAGTATCAAATCAAAAGTCCCAAAAAGGATGTTAGAACAACTGCTGCACAGATGCTTTCTGGCATTCTCACCCAGCCTTTCGTGTGTGTTTGTGTAGGTTTGACTATCAGGAGCTGCTTCACAACTCCAGTTTCTGTCTGGTGCCTCGGGGCCGACGTCTAGGATCATTCCGCTTCCTGGAGGCTTTGCAGGTGAGCGTCTGTGGGTTTCTGGCTTAGATGGATGCCATCACATCATTTAGTATAAAGACAAATGTGATTATTTACCAACAAAAAAAGGACACATCCGTGAGATTTACAAATCTTGCATCTATTGCATTGTATTTATTTATTCCTCTGACTCGGAAAGGCGCTATACAACTGAGGGTCAATTATTTATATTTATTGAAAGAATCAGAAGTAGAAACTTACGATTTACCATGAAAAACACATTCTTATGGATAAGTATACAATTATTCATCAAGCCTGTAACTATAGTCCCAGAATAAAGGACTCGGGCTGAGCTCAACATTTATTTGGGCAGTAACATAATTAGGTGCTCCTCCGGGATCCTATACCCCAGATTTGCAGACAATAATTGTCTTTTTTAACCTTTCAGTGAGGTTCGGCTCTACTGTACTCAAAACTGTTTGGTTAATTTTCCATAACAACTACAAAATGGCATTAGTGGGTGGGCTAGTCATAGCGGAGCAGACCCTAACGTTCAGAAAAGAGGGTTAGGGACACAAAAATGCAGCACAATACAACAACAAAAATCATGGTAGCGATGTTAAGCATAATGCTCAGCTGGTGGCTTTTTGTCAGCCTCTGAAAATATGAGACCTGGAAAATCCTGCAGGCAGTAAGACAGAAATACAGGAGAGTTTGGGTGTTTCCAATGTTCCAAAAGTGGCAGCAAACGTGTACTCATTACTAGTGGAGACGCCTTAGAACCAGGCCTGACCGGGTCGAGCCATATTGTGTCTGTACTGGCAGAAAAGGCCCATGATTGTGGTAGCTCCTTGGTAAAGGATCCTGGACAAGACCCCAATTGTCTTACAACCTTTAAGGTTAGAAAATACAACAACCATACATTTTGGGCTGTTAAGAGTAAAATATGTACATTGATGAATGTAACACTGTAAAACATTTAATCTGTGGGGGGCAAGAGGTTGTGCCAAATAAACAAATAACAAAACAAAACAAGAAATATGACAAAATCTCGTCTTTTCATCTAAAAAGTAACTTAACAAAACACTCAGAGGGTGGAACCAACCCTTTAGCCTAGAATTCCTGGCAAAAAAGTTAAACTACTTGTGCAACTGCATTATTTATGCAAACTCCGTGTTTACTCAGGAACTACCACAAACGGAGTTCTGCTACATGGGAGGGCCAAAACAAAGCAAGTGGATTTCAGCCTTGCAAGATGCAATAAAAAGATGAAATTTCACACATTTGGTTTATACCATTTCTCTTTAGGCATCATTAAACCTACCTTAATGAAAACATAGAACATAAAACCAAAGTGGAAAAAAAAAATCACAAAATATTGAACTTCACTCATAACGTTGAAGATCTGTAGAGCAAATAGGATGAGCTGATGAATTTAGAATAAAACCTTCAGCATATGGAGGTGAACAGGAGAGGACAGCCCCCCAAGAATCCTGTATTTATACATTTTATTTAAAACCAAGCCTTGAATCTCTGGATATTACAATATTAGCATCCTTAAATATTTTATTGTATTTCTCCTCACTATCTTAGAAATGTCATTGTATCTATAAACCATTTGGTGCAAAAATTTGGGGAAATACTTTTTGCAGTTTAAGCATAAAGTTGCTGTTTTGACTTGAAGATACATTTCGAGCCTTCAGAAAGCAGATGCCCTCGTTTGAGAAAATTCTCCAGTACAATCTCACTTGAATCCTAAACTAAGGTGATATCTGCCCCTGTCTGTTGCTGTCGTGTTGTTTTATAATTACTGGTAAAGGCTCGTCAGTCAGCCTGTGGAGCTCCAGCTGAGCTTCCCAACCAGTCAAAAAGCTCCCTGTCCTCTTCTGACAGATTCAGCTTCGCATTATATTAGTATTGACAACCTGTCGTAAAGCTGATATAGAAAAGGCCTGTTTTTGGAGATATACCACAGAAAAGACATCACACACCACGTTGGTTCAGCTTATCTGACTATTTGGACGTTAGTTTTCCGGCTCTGCTTATGGTTTACTTTTATTTTAGTGTGTTCCGTTTTAACTCAAATTTCTACAGAGTTTACATTTTTATTATTAAAGGTGCATTATGTAGAAAAGAAGTAAAAATGGCATCTTGAGGTAAAATGTGGTTACTGCAACCACTTTAAACAACTCTGGAGCTTTTTGCTGGCCGTCGTTAAATTGCAGTTGTCGGCGCTGCAGTATTAGCTCGCAGGAGACACGGCACCCCGACACTCACTAATGGTAAACAGTCGTTACGTCCCAAAGGAGAAAAACTGGCAGTCCAGCAGCCAGCTGGATATGAAATTTCTTTCAGTGTAAGCTTCCTTCCAAAATGACTGAAACATTAGACTCTTTTTGGGATTTTCTCACTATAAAACTCTCATTATATTCTTACATACTGCACCTTTAATGTTTAGCTTAATACTTTTTTCTAATAACTCAGGCTACGTGGATAAAAGGTTCCCACAAGTTTCAGTCAAACTCCCAGAAAGTGTTTGTTTATACGTCTACATCAGAGTCAGCTAGATTTAAGATGGCTGCCCCATCACTGGCAAACATAAACATGCTTTTTACTCCATCACTTTCACAGAAGCAGGCTAAAACATGCTCAGTTTGCAGCTGAGAGGTCTCACCATCACATACTCCAGGTTCTACATGTTTATATGTAGTTATGGGTTTTTGCACATATTTCAGGGCTTTTTAACCAGTTCATGGTGGTGAATGTGGTTAGCTAGCTGGTAAAATAGAAGTTGAATAGAAATGCATCCTTACTTCAACTTCTTGTCTGTTAGTAAAATACCTCCTGAAACATTGTATTATGTGTATCTAGATCTTATTCAGTTACATCAGCTGTTAGCAATAACTGATAATTTTATCTGTGGTAAATAATAATAAATTCTGATTAAGTGCTAGAAGTTTGGCAGTAGAAAGAACAAAGACTTGTTGAGGGAAGAGAGATAAAGATGGAGAAAGCCGTTTCACCGGAGCTGTTTAATCATCAGCAGGTCACTTATCAGGCACTCGACATTTTGAGGATTTTCTTTAATCTCTGAGCTTCACCTGATTGAGAATCCATCGGAATTTGAACTTTGTATGAAAATATCACTCACTATGGTTTTCTTAATCATCACTAAAGGTTCTAGCACCTTCCATGGAAACTCCAGGCAGTTTTAAGAGTCTAGTCCAGCTGAGATCCAGATGTGACCATAGACATTAATACGTAGATGCGCCATTGGACACTGGAGAGCATAAAAGCATCGCTGCCATTTTGGATGGTTTCCTCACCTCCAAACAAGACTGGAGTTGATGCAGAGTGAGCAACTATGCCCGTTTTCTGTGCACCCTACGGTTGTAACAACAGGTGCACCATCGAAAACAGACTTTTCTTGCCCATCTGTTGGGTTTTCGTATTTTAATTGATTTAATTATATTTTAGGTATCATGCCATATCATAAGTCTTTGAAAAAGCATAATAAATGTGTTTTATTGTGGGGTAAGCACATTAGAATAAATTAACTGAATGGAGACCCATCCAAAATGCCACTAAGGTAGCTCCAATAGGCAGCGCCAGTTCACGTTGCATCTATGTACAGTACAGGCCAGAAGTTTGGACACAGCTTCTCATTCAATGTGTTTTCTTTATTTTCATGACCATGACCAATTAAAAGGTGCCAACAAGTGCTAAACACCTCTGGGAACTCCTTCAAGACTGTTAGAAAACCATTTCAGGTGACTACCTCTTGAAGCTCATCAAGATAATGCAAAGAGTGTGCAAAGCCATAATCAGAGCAAATGGTGGCTATTTTGAAGAAAATAGAATATAGAACATGTTTTCAGTTATTCCACCTTTTTTGGTTAACCCTCCCACTGTGTTCATGGATGACCCCGCAAAGAAAGTTGACCATTGAGCAGGATTGATGGTTTATCCCTTGAGGTCCACGTGGCAGGGGTGAGGTGGTGCTCACTCCTCTCCTCTCAATATTGAGATAATTTTAGTGTTTAGTATAAAATATAAGATTTCTTGTCTTATTATTTAAAAAATCATCACCTTGTGATCTGAGAACGCTTTAAAACTGGTCATGCATAAAGCTGCAGACTGCTTTAAAAATTCCCTCAGGTGTATTCCTGCACCCCCACCCAGCAAGCTTAGGAAATAAAACTTATTTCACATTTCAAAGCCTCCTAACATTCATTAATATCATTGGTGCTAAATCAAATGTATAAGCATGCAGCTGTTAATTAATGACCTGTTTCACCATTTTAACTGTAAGTATAATAAATTAACACCAAAGGCATCAGGATGAGCTACAGAAATGTGTGAAAATTAGCCACAAAAGATGGTAAACGTTCCATTTAAACAGTTTATTAGTGCTGTAAAATGCACTATCAAATCTTTTCCATTAACCACAAAATGACGAAGCGTTTCAGGATTCTCTCCATAAAACAAATCTAACTCAGCAGCTCAGAGAGCTCATTGAGCCGCTGTGGGAAATAAAACCAGCTGCTAATGAATTAAGTCATATAAACGACTCTTGAAAATATTGAGCCACACTGTAGGAATCAACAAACGCACTTGATTTTGTCTTTAATCTTCCTGGCGACTCCATTTGTTCGTGAGAAACTTGCTGAGTGTCTCATCAGAAGGAGGCAATCAGAGAGGATAAAAAGCCTCTCAGTGAAGGGAAATCCTTCCCAGCGCTCCACTTTTAACTTCTGCTCAGAGTTTTTCTGTGTCTCTCCTCTCCAGCTCTCTGCTGTGAAAAGAAGTAAACATTTGAAAAAGAATTAGTGCCAGCCTTTCTTTATTCCAAATTAGAATATTCGTTACCGCTCCTCAGCTACAACCAACAATCCCAAACATCAAGACGGTTCTTGCCATAATGTTTGACGTCTGATTTACCCAAATATTTTTGAACATGAACTGCTTTATTGGCCCGCAGACTAAGCCAAATCTTTTTTTTTTATTTTGTTCCAGGCCGCCTGTATCCCAGTGATTCTGAGCAATGGCTGGGAGCTTCCCTTCTCTGAAGTCATCGACTGGAGGAAAGCTGCCATCATCGGAGACGAGCGTCTTCTGTTACAGGTACTTTGAAGTTATTTTATTTGATTCACTCAAAGCCATTGGGGAGATGGGGAGAAGAGGTCTGAAGCTAACCACAGGTGTCTGAGGTGTTGATGGAGTAAAAGAATGAACACTAACCCAGCGGTGTTGGTCAGCTGTTTACAACCCTGCCTCTGGCTCGGCAGCAAGTCTGTCCATAAGACACAAAAATCAGCTGATAAATCTCAATATTCAATGTCCTGGACATGACAGAGTAGGGTGTCCAATCCTTGTCCTCAAGGGCACCTTTCCAATTGCACCTAATTCAGTGGTTGAATTACCTGTTGAAAGGTGGGAGCTCAGTCGGGATGTGAAGCTCTCGATTTACCGGTCGATCTACGTTCCTACCCTCAGGTCGAGGCCTTTGGGTAGTGAATGAAAGAATGCAAGCTGCCAAAATGAGTTTTCTCCGCAGGTTGTCTGGACTCTCCCTTAGTGATAGGTTGAGAAACTCAAGGAGGGGCTCAAAGTAGATTTGCTGCTCCTCCATATCTTGAAGAGCCAGTTAAGGCAGCTCAGGCATCTGGTTAGGGTTACTTCTGGACACCTTCCTGACTATTTCTTGACTGGCTAGGGAATGCTCTGGGATTCCCCTGGGAAGCTGGCCCAAGTGACAGTGGAGAAGGAAGTCTGGGCCTCTCTGTTTAGGTTACTTCCCCCACGACCCGACTCCGGATTAGCAGACTGTGATGTATAGATGGATAAATACCTCAGGGTACCTGGTGGGCTGCCAGGCTAAGCGTCACCCCCCAGGCCCTACAGCCTCTGCTGTCACAGACGCACGGCAGCAAAATGATCTGTGCGCATCGCACCCTCGCCCCGCCCTTACGGACGAGGAATGGTAGCTCCTCCATCCCCTGATCATCAGAGGATGGAGAGGCGGGGTACACACAGTAGTTTTGGCTCGTTAAATAACAATAGACAGCTACAGCTTATAAGATTGACTCTCCCGTATTCCAGGTGGAATTGACAAAGCTCCTCAGATGAGAAGCAAAACGTCTTCAAGAATCCAAAGAAGTCCAGTTGCCTTCAAGTTAGCCACTAGTTTGTTAGCAACCTGGCTAGCTATAACTGTTGCTTCGGTTAAACGACTACTTTCTGCAGAATATTCTTTAAAAATGACTGAATATTACTTTAAATCACACAAAAAACACGAGATGTTGACATCTGAAACTGTTTAAGAAACATTTCTGGAGGCGGAGGAGAGAACTTTAACTCTAGTCGTGTGACTTTTATTGGATTTTCCTCTATTGAGAAATGACACGCATGATAATCAGTCGATTTACACTTACACCCAGAGCTATTTTTATCTGAAATTCATCTCCTCACAATTGGAGCACCTTCTGGTCCTTTTAATCATAGCTACAGCCCGTGTGATATTTAGATTTTCTAATTACACTCCGTGTTACTTTGTGTAACCTTTACTACCATCTGGACAGAAAACAGACATGTTGCCGTTTGCGTCCTGGGAGCTGAAAACTACAAATGACTGCCTTTGATTAGAGTATCTCTGGTTTCCAGCTTTCATCCGACACCTAACAGGATGTTCTTTCTATTTTCTATCTTGCAAAAAAATAAACAAATAAAAGCCATTACATGCATAAAAAAAGTTTTACTGAAAGCTGTCATGCACTAATGCTTTTAAGAGGTTTTATTATTCCCTTCAGCTCACTAATTATTGGCTATTATAATAAGTGTGAAGAGAGAAACATGTTCTGAGAGAAACTGAGACACACATTTACAGAAACATCCTTCCATTAATTCACATGTTGATGCAGAAAAGACAATGAAAAACAAGAAAATGCAAAAACTTTTATTGAGTCTCATCACAAAAGCTATTCACCTATTTTTAGAAAGCATAATTAAACACAGTAGGGGTGGGCTGCTTGAATGCAAGACTCTAAAGGTGGTTTTCCAGGAACACCACTCAGAGCAACTCGGACCGATCCAGCTCGGCCCGACCAATGTTTCCAAGGGCACAGTTCGGTATTTTCCCTCTAATTTCTCCCCTATTTTTAGTCCCTCATCCATTGAGGTACCTGGCAAGGCTGAGTTGGGCCTGCATCGTCATTCTGGCTGCTGACTGGCAAGGGGCCGGGTCACTGGTTGCTCTGAAGTTTTTCGCTTTTCGTTTCACTGCCTGCAGCCGTTTCTTGGTTCAGAGTCTGACAAAATGCCATAAAACTGAGCAAAATGTCCAGCAACTCCAACATTTTTCAGCTGAGGTTTGTTTCTGTGGAGCATACAAGTTACCTTACCCCAGTTTTACACTGAAAGCATCGTCACTGCTTCAAATAGAATCCATTATAGTCTATGGAGTGTTTCAAAACAGCAGCTACGCGACAATTTCCAGCAGTGAAATGAAGGTGAAACATTACTTAAATGATATATAGTTTTTAGAAATATTTTTATTTAAAGATTTCTCAGTTTGTGATGCTTTTTGGAAACAGGGGATAAACCCCTGGTCTAATGCGCCACCTGGCTGGGGAAAGCCGTTCTCTCAAACTTCCTTCTAGTTATTATTTAGGTAGCACACACAAATTATGAGTGCCTTTGGCACAATGAGCCATTTTATTCTAGATTAATATAGATTAATTCCAAGATTACAGTGAGATTAATCTAGATTAACAAATGTACCTATGCCCACCCCTAGAAAAAAGTTTAATATATTATCAGTTTTTTAATTTGTTTGGTGCGATAAGGTTAATATAATCCAAATTAATATTAAGGTAATAATAATGAAATGTAATCTTGTACTTTTTATTCAAACTTTAGTTGTTTTTTTTTCAGTGCATGTTTAAAAAAGGATGTAAAATACAAAATGACCTACAAGTTAAATCAGGGATGTCAACACGAGAGCCAACATTCTCAACTTAATAGTCATTTAGGAAAAAATTGCAAGAATTATTTTAATGTTGATCATTCTTTTCAATATAGGTCAAAAATAGGCATAATTGAAAAGGTTTTGAACATATAATGTTAGAAAGTGTCGATGTACATCGAGATACTAAATACATCATTCTAAAAATGCAAATGGGGGCCACACAAGGTCCCTTTGATAGTTGCAAAGGGCCCCCGGTGGTGATTCGAACCACTGACCATCATTGTGCGACTTGAACAATTGCTTTTAGTTTTTTTACAACGTTTGTCAAGAAATATAATTAAAAAACCAGACGCATCATTCATTTATGCAGCTTGTAAACAGATTTGGTTACAAATTCGCAAGAGCCCGATGTTCAACAAAACTCTGGCCCTCCAACGCCTGCTGAGAGAGTCGAATCTCATTACTTTCAATTACATCGCTGAGAGCTTCAGTAGCTGGCTGTTTAATATGTAGAGAGTTTGTTTCTCCCTGTGGAAAGAAGACATGTGAAAAGCAGACACCCAGGTATTCAAACAAACCAAAATCCCCCCGCTGACAAACACAAATGCTATTGGAGTTAATCGAGGAGATGAGAACGCAGCTGATCTCATCGGTGTTGTTTGTATTCTCCATCCGAGAGCTGAAAAGTCACAACTGGAGCTGCTGCCAACAGACCAAGCAGAAAAACCACCTAAAGCGTGCAGAATAGGACTTGAATGTCAGGTATAGGTCAAGATTCTTTACGTTTAGGGAAGCGTGAAAACAAAGAAAGGTAAATAACAACAGTGAAAGATGGAATTTTAGAATAATTTAACAATGAATCACTAGAGAATAAGTCTTCCTGCAGTTTTGAATGAATAAAGAAAATGAATGCATCCAATACAAAGTGACAGGCTCACATTGGGCCTGATTAAATATAAAGTTTGAGAAGGGACCACTATAGAAAAGTTATTTTATTTGTTTTCTTATTTTATTTGATAGTGTTGAATGAGATTAAGTCACAAAGTCATTTACAGTAAGTACAGAGTTGCACCACAAGTCTGTCAAACTTATCACGTTTGCAGACGACACCACCGTCATCGGACTCATCTTTGACAGGGATGAGTCGGCCTACAGAATGGAGGTGGAACGGCTGGTGTCCTGGTGCTAAATAACCAGAAGACAGGAGGTCGTTGTTGACTTTAGGAAGCACACAGCCCCCCTCCCCAAATAACCTTGTCTGACACTCTCATCATGATGGTGGATTTGTGTTGCTTCCTGGGCACCACCATCACCTCCATCATAAAAAAGGCCCAGCAGAGGATGTACTTTCTGAGGCAGCTGAATAAATTCAACCTGCCAGCACAGTCGATGAGGCAGTTCTACATCCTCACCTCTTCCATCACTGTGTGGTATGCTGGAGCTACCACCAGGGATGTGAAGAGAAGCAAGCGTGTTGTATGCTCTGCTGAGAAGGTTGGCTGCAAACTCCCCTCCATACAGGACCTGTACACCTCCAGGACATTGAGGCGTGAAGGTCAGCTCACAGCAGACCAGCCTCACCCTGGACAAAGTCTCTTCAACTCACTCCCATCTGCCAGGAGACTCTGATCCATTTAAACCAGAACCTCTCACCAGATAAACTGTTTCTTCCCCTCTGCAGTTGGTCTCGTGAATAACAATCCTAGAACTGCCCACTCCAGTTGCTTTGTCTCAGTCACATGACCCTGTGTTCTATTTGCACCAGAACCGATCCTCTCTGATCAGTACCTACACTGACTTGTATAAAGTAGCTGCTTCTCTAATTATTGCCTCCCTTTATTAACATTTCATTGTATTTATTTCTTCATTTTAATTTTTGCTCATTTTTTTTATTTTTTCTTGCACCAAGTGTGATTTCACACTCGACAATAAAACCCTTCTGATTCTGACAGAGTAGGCGGTACTCAATCCCACAACCTTCTGGTTACGATGGGCACTAAACTCCTCCGCCACAGTCATCCTAAGCTAGTGCTATTAGCCTACGGTAAACAATTATTTAAAATATATTCCTTAGTATTTACCTGTCCAAAATAAACTTTGCCAACTCTTCACCAGTTTTAATCACTTGTAAATTACGAAGCTGCCTCCATATTTTAGAAGAACCTCCCACGTAAATTCTACTCAACTGTCATAAACACCTCACAAACTTTTAAATGGCTACAATTTTCTTTGAGTTATAGGAGACAGTAGCTGTAAAGCCATCCCGTATAAGTGAAAATATAGTCTGGCCACGACCCATACAGACCTCAGTTGTGGGGCTGAATCTATGGTTGTCTTTCAAACTGTCTCCAAATGCTATTGGACAACAAGCAACGTGAAGAAACGCCTAAGATAATCTGTTATTGTAACACTCATGTATTACTTCTGCTGCCCTTTCCTCCAGGTTCCCTCCATTACCCGATCTGTGGGCCGAGACAGGATCCTGGCCCTCCGCCAGCAGACTCAGTTCCTCTGGGACGCCTACTTCTCCTCCGTAGCCAAAATAGTCTCAACGACTCTGGAGGTGAGCGGACAGAAACCCGTCTTAGATGGGAGTTTTTGGGTTTAGATTGTCAGGAGGGCTTCATCTAATTTACTCAACTGGTTCGGTTCTGTACGCCGCTGCTGGCCACGCGTCACCTTCAGAGTGTTTCTCCACTTATCAGTTATTTTTCTCCCCAAAGGTTAGCTGAATGTGACTCTTCCTGCAGCTTTCCGTGTTTTATTTGAACATTTGCACCCAGAAGCTGCTCTGATCAACAGAAAGAGCCGACTTGGTCCGCTGAAGTAATTAAGGATTATTTATCTTGTCTTGCTCAAGGTCTGTTTTCTGCTGGTTCCAGCAGGGGAAAGTAAATCAAACGAGTGGCGAACTGTTAACTTGGTTTGTTCTTATAAAAATAATTTAAATGAAGTTAAGGGGGTGAGATGCATCTATGAATGACCTCAGCTGTCTTGTTTTCCTGAGTCTCTTTATTCTCTGTTGTTGGTTCAGTCCTAAGAAACGATTTGCTTTTTGCAAAGTTTCTGAACACAGATGATAATCTGCTTTTATCACCACCACCCACAGCAGCAACACCAATATTATCACACTAGCCTGCTCACACAGACGTGGTTTAAGAACTGAGAAGCAACTCATTGCACCAGTTTGGGTTAAAAAATTTTGAAAGATAATCCCCCAATAGGAGGCTCCTACCTGTCTGCGTAGTGAAATCCAGGTGGTGACTCCTTTTGGCCAGGTGGTATTTGTGTGGTGGAACAGGTGTACTCAATAAAGTGACCAAGTTTTTGCCTTCGTTTTACACAAGACAAATCATGATGAGGTGAAATCTGAAGGCTGCAGGAGGCAGCAGAAACAAACTTTATTTGAAAACATGTCATAGATGGCAGATAATAAAAGAAACGTAAATGTTTAATGTGGGAGACAATAAAGACTCAAACCTCTGAGATTAACGTTTGCTCAGTTTTATGATTGAAAAACTCCCAAGCGGCTGCTTTCCTGTTCTGTAAATTATCTCCACACACGATCAGACCTGAGCGGCTCCCCCCGACGGCCGGTTCTAGCTGAGAAGGAAATTAGACAGATGTCCGCTGACAGTCGTGTCGCTGCCAGCCAGATGTGCTAAGAACCGGGAGCCAGCGTGCCACCGGGCTAAATGGGTGTAATGAAGCGTTGTTGATAACTGTGGTGTCCCACATACAACGAGCCTGGCGGTGTCCCTCACACAGCGGGTGTGTTAATATCATCTCGCTGTGGGCACCACGTCTGCTCGGATAAATAGACGCTGTGGAGCCAGACTGGAAATATCAATACAATGTTTTATATTTTGTTATTAGTCTTAACTTAATTGAAGTTCATTGCAGTTACAGAAGGTTGTTTGTGGTGTTGTTGTGTCAAAATATTTGTACACATATCAGAAAGTGAATTAAAATGTGAATCTTTAACACTTCTACCACCTGTTGATCAAGTAGAAAGTACTTTTGGGATACAAAAACAGATTTCTTTTTCTTTTAACTTGTGCCAAAGCTACATTAAATTAGCAGTTTTCAATAAAAAGATCACATTGTTGTTTTCTTTGTGTAGAAAGATCAGGAAACTTGTAGACACAAATAGGTTAATCATACGTTTGCCTTAAAGTAGCAATCCAGAGTTTTCCCTTTTTCAGGATTTATGGATGATTTTTATTTTTTTTTATTAATAAAACTGATAGTCTTACTCATAAGCCCACCTTGGCCCGTAGATAGCCCGGCCAGTCAGACTCGTCCTCTGTCTACTCTACTCAGAGGACGAGTCTGGATACTCAGAGGCAGAGAGCACCACGAGGGGCGGGACTTGCCAACTCAAAATAACCAATCAGAAAAAGGCAGAACTGACGACTGTATCGTGACCATGTATTTTTTTAGCTGTCTTCAAAGATGGCGTCTGGTGACAGTCAGCACTTCTACTTGTTGTGGTTTTAAAGACACGTCCAAGTCATTAAGAACAGAGGAAAGAGCTGCAGCAAACGCCGCTTCAGACGCCATCTTTGTCGTTTATGACAAAACTGAGCATTGCGGTGTGTGATGTCACTGCTCAGCGCTGATTGGCTCGGCTACAATTCTCAGGAGGTGGGGTTATTTGAATGGGAGCGTTACCAGACCCGTTGGCATGGCTGGCCAGGCTAGCTTGTAGAACCCCTTGCAATGTGAATGGAGCGCCAGTCAACATTAGCCAATGGTGTCAGACATCGGCTTGCAGGTGTCAATCACCGAGCATGTACACGCGTGTTTGAGGATGCACTTAAGACCGTTAGTGACACTTCTTATGGACAAGTCTTTAAAGTGTGCAAACAATAACTGTAAAACTGTATTAAGCCTGGTTCATGCTTCTCCGTCAGCTGTGCAAGGGACAGACACGCACGGACTGACGGAAGCGTTTTGCTCTCATACTTCTCCGTCTCCTGGAGAGTGTTGCAAAGCAATTCCCCAGCAGGACAACAGAGGGCGTAGTGCTGTTCTGTGGTATCCTGTCATGTATCGGTCCAAGATAGTGTGTTTATATTGTTTTTTTTTTTATATAAGAGACTTTTTAACACAGACAAATTTGTCTCTCATTCTCCTCCACCTCTTCATGCGCTCCCCACCTCTAAACCCACGTTTCCTGTCATTTCCGTCCACAAATAAAACGCTTGCTGCGCATCTTTTCACTCCTCCAGTCACGGGAAATTAAACGTTCGTCTTTTTAGAGTTTTTTTCGCGAGGTATTCTTCAAGCTGCTCCGTGTCTGCCGCTAGTTATCCTTGGCTCTATGTTTTTGAGGGCGCAATGGAGGCGGTGTAGACAACAGCGGCGTCCTGACCAATCTCAAGCTTGCGTTGTCCGTCTCGACTGACGGATGTTTAGAAAAGAGAGCTTAGCTCCGTCCGTCCTTGCGGAGCTCTCCGGCAGGCCCGCCAGGACGTTGCGTGTCCCCGCGCTGACACAGACGGAGAAGCATGAATCAGGCTTTAGAGGTGCAGCTGTTTTTAAGTAGGGTCCTTTGGTTCATTACGTTTTTCTGCCAGATGGTGCCCTCTGAGAAAGAACTCCTGATTTCTGTTTTAATAAAAAAAATACTACATTCAAAGTTTTTAATATACATTATTTTTCATGTAGATTAATGAAGATTTTTAAAACATTGAATATTCAGCAGCTCTAAATTAGAAATGAAATTGTTTTTTGTTTTGCCAAAGCAGCTGAAGGACAGTCTCTCTAAGGGTTGCAAATGGCCCAAGGGTCACACTTTGGACACCCCTGCCTTAAATGATTATCCTTCATTAGTAATATCTCTTTATTGAGCTTTTTGTTGTTGGTCAGTAGATAACTGTTCAGCTTATAAGTAATACATTCAATTCCAGTAGAAGTGTTCTGAATTATATTCACATGTTTAACCCTTTCATGCCTGAATTACTACCTGAGTCTGTTTCTTTGGTCCCAATGGACTTTTATTCCGAAAGGCATGAAAAATGATCATTTAAGCACGATTTTACCACATTAAACACTACATCCTGAACATCTGGATGAGCTCAGAGTACGTCTACATTGTGCCGTTTCTTCTCCTCTGAAGCAGCCAGAGGTCGTGGTTTTTCACATTTAACCTTTGGTAACAAGCCAGATGAATACTAGCTGGACAACAAATGGACAGCTCCTGTTGGGATCAAGTTACCGTAATACCAATTTGAAGATGTATCTGAGCTGTGTGAAGTCATTTCACTTGTAGAGGCTTCCCAGAGCACCAGATGTTACCCAACAGCTGGCTCCTTTTGGCTCCAGGCAACACGAAAGGAGTTTTCATGCTGAAACAGCCAATCTGCACATTTATTGCTTTTATTCAGGTTATGAATAATGTTCTTCTAGCCTTAAACACTCTTCCCCTCACCATTTCCCTTCTCTTTTTGAGGATGTAAAGAAAAGCAAATCTAATCATGATGTTTGGAGACATTATTCTCTTTTGTTCTCCTTGCATCCCAGATAATTCAGGACCGTGTGGAGTCTCATGTGTCCAGGAACCACCTGCTGTGGAATTCCCTACCTGGAGGTCTCTACGCCCTCCCACAGTACTCAGCTGACCCTGCTCAGTTTCCCTTTTACTACGCCATGCTGGGTAAGTGTACCGATCCAGTTCTGTAAGGTCTTTATTAAAGATCAAACTTAAAAAAACATTAATTTACCTGCAAGTTTAGCTCACAACTGTCAGTGCGAGAAAGAATACAGATGATGTAAAAAAAAAATCAGACTTTTATGTCGGCAGCTGAGTGTGAAACGGCTGTGAGGAGAGTTCTTGAGCTAGGAGAGTCTCTTATGCTGAGGAGTTTAAGTACTTTTTCTCAGATTGATGGTGGAGATGGAGCTAAGCTGTGAGACAAATGTCTGTCTCTGTCCCACTCCTCTGCTCATAAAATGTAGATCATGACTGAAAGAACAAGGTCCCAGATGCAAGATGATGTCGATAATGTGGCTGGACACAGCGTTAGACTTCAGGGTGGAGCTCAGAGTAGAGGTGCTGCTGCTCCTCATCAAAGAGAATCATCCGAGGTGGTTATAGCCTCCATTTGGAGATTTTCTAGGCACATCCCACTAACCACAGGGAAAGCCCTAGAACTCACTGCAGGGATTATATATTCTCTCAGGTCAGGACCTTGGGTAGTGAATTCAAATGACGACTTTAGTCGTTATTGGCAGTGAATGAGTTAACACCATGTTTTAGTTAAAGATTCTCCCAGAACCTGTTATGGTTTCCTCTTATCGGTTTACCAATGATAAACAAAATCAGAGTAAAATAATGCAGAAAAGCAGCTTAATTGCTGTGGGCTTCTGCTTTCATGTTGTTTCTGAAAAGTCTCAACTTTAGGATCCATTGGGAGAAACTTTGGTTTCTGTGTACACGAGAGGTATAAATGCAGCCAACGATGGGCTGAAGTGAATGGGGAAACTGGGAGTTCAGTCAGCAGCAGACTCGCACTCATCTCGAGGAAGTCTGTAGTTTGAGGAGTAAGGAAGCGTGGGAAGATGCTGCCTGAAGGCACACCGTGGTCCACCTCCTCCACCCACCACTAGAAACAAATGAGTGGGAAAGGTCCTTGGTACAAAACATTAGTTCTCCCATCGGCGAGCTTGGTTCTGCATGTCCAAACCCAAGGCCTAATCCGATTTTAGTTTTATTTAGCCTTTACTTTACCATTCAGCACATGAATTCAATCAGGAAAATGGAAACAAAAGTAAGAAGTGTGCTTACGGGGGTCGTGTTCAGCTTTTTAACACCTCAGGGTTACAACTTTCCAATTATTGTGACAGCCGTAGGAGGAACCGGAACACGCTGAGTGCCCTACAACCCAAAATCACAAGAATTTACACAATCTTCATCTCAGACACCTCGGTGCCAGATGCCACAGGGCGCCAGGGGTCAGAGCAGTTTTAACTCGTCTGAAACTCGGCTTTTCAAAACACAAACAATTATGTTAATCCACAATGACAATGTTATGCAAATTCCTCTTGTTTTATTCCACGTGGGCTTTTTTTATCTGCCCAGCAGCCAGAAACAAAAAGAGCATGTGGGAAAACTGGCTGGTAAAAATGTTTGTAATATGAATAAATATAAATAGTTTTAGACTGGAGTAGAGCTCAGAAGGCTGTATATGTCTGCGTGGGAACGAGTCTCCGTAGACCGAGGCTGTGACTCAGATCGATGTTCGTCTCCCTCTGAGGGATTGTGGACACGCAGGTTAGGAGGTGAAGAGAAGGGATGGACTGAAGGATAGAAGGAAAGATGGAGTCGTTTTGTTTATGCCTCTGCAGTAAATCACTATTTCTGCTGCTGCTGCTCAGGGAATAACAACGTCAGTGCCGAGTGTTCGGCAGTCTCACTCTGCTACCTTCCCATAACTTTTGATGGCAAAGCAGTTGTAACTTTTTGCCTGATAGTTTGACTCGCTGCTCAGATATATTTGCCTCAGGAGCTGTAAGAAGAACCCGTTGTGAAGGCTAAAGCTGCAGCTTCACTTTTTAGACGGGATTTCCATATTTATATCGAAATTCACATCACATTGGTCAAAGTGTAGAGTAGTATATTAACCTTTAAAAGCACCCAAATACATACAATCATTTCCCTCTACACCAATCACAAGCTTGCGTTTTCCATCTCGGTCGACAGATGTTTAGAAAAGTGGCCAGGACTTCATCCATCCTTGCAACAATAACGCCGTTGCGACGCTTACGCAGATGCATAAACTAGGCTTAACCCTTCACCCAGAGACTCCGTTTAAGAACTATCAGGTCCTCTGATGCTAGACTCTTCGGAGATTTCACAATTATAATCCCAACTCCCTCAATTAATTATATTCAAGTTGTCTGTGAGCCTTTACAACAATTTTATTTCTAATTAGCATACAAAAGTCAGGCCTTTGTGTGCTCTTTAGTAGGAAAATGAGCCAACAAGTCTCATACTAGTGAAATAATTACTTTTAATAATTTTTTTAAACAAAAAAGAATAAATAGCTCCCACAGAACAGACCAATATAGAGTAAATCTGTTTTTTATAACTGCTTGTAAATTAATTTTCAAGCACAAACTAAAACACTGACCTCCCAACTTCTTTTAGATCTTTTGTATCCACTTGCTCTTACAATGCACCCAGGATCCATCTTGGTTTTAATTAAACTCATTTGCTCTGCAGCAATGACCTTTTGCTGAGTCACTATTCATTTGTTTCTTTATGTAAGACTTTTAAATCCAATGTTATTCATGAAAAGGGTAATGAGACTTGCGCTCTGAAAAAAACTTAATTATTGCTCAATTTAGGTGCAGCTGTGTTCTGCATGCAGAAAACTGGTTAATTACCCACTTTTATTACAAGTTGGAATTTTACTTTGAACACGAGTCTCAAAAAATCCTTATTTTTAATTAGATGTATTTAAATCTTTGAAGCTGAATAATCTTTTGCACATTTAGATGTTTTACCCATCTATATCAGTTGTACTTGGTATACATTTATATTTATTAGTGGATCAAATTTAACACGGCTATAATTGTTGTTGTCCTCAAGGCCAACCACCAGATTTTGGGTATCGAGGCTCATTTACGCCTGAACTGAGATAAATAATGTAATGCATGACATGTATTTTATAAGATTAATTAAATAAAACAACAGTTCTGAAAAGGCCAAACAAAGACGACGACAACGGTGATGTTGCTCTTTCTAAGAATCGGAGCTTGAACCCATTTCTGTGACACCTCCCCCCACAAGGTGCTTCCATAAATACCACTTAGCCCACCTGAGATGGCTGGTCGGGAGGCCCAGTGTCAGAGAGATGGATAGAGCTACACTAAAGAGCACTCCGGCTCCACTTATCCATGAGGATATGTGCTCCCTTATTCCCATACCCAGCTGACACGAGTTTCCATGTGCCTGCTGTCCTGGCTTTTTGTGTTTTTCTGAATGTTAAAAGTCTGTTGTCCTAAATGTTATTTGTTATAAATGCATTTTGTCTATAGGGTTATGTAATTCTTGGTCTTTTTCACATACAGGCTGGGTGTTTTTCAACTCCCATCACCTGCATTAGCCGCAGACAGGAAGTAGATGAGAAAACAATTGGCTCAGAAGCCAGTCACAGGGAAACTTTCATTGTTGGCCTCACTCACCTTGGCTTGTGAACGCTAACAGAAAGGAGCGTGCAGACTAGTAGAAGCTAACCGTTAGCATTAGCAACATGGCAGAAATCCTCCAGGTTAGTGTAATTCATGGAGATAAAACATCAATGTTTCATTTTTCACCCATAAAAGAAGAGCAAACAAAGGCAGAGGATGAGTCGTGTTGCTGTTGGCCAATCAGAGGAGACACACTCTCCTATACACACACACACACACACACACACACACACACACACACACACACACACACACACACACACACACACACACACACACACACACACACACACACGCCAGCCAAGGTTCTGCTTCATGAACAAAGATAAAATCTGTATTTTAATGTTCTGCTCTCACATTTTTATTTTTCATTTCCTTAAACTCTTGGCAGCAATCCTGAATTTGTCGAAAATGACAGGCCTGCCTAATTATTCAGCAAACCAATTAATTGTTCCATCTCTTCAACCTCATCTTGAGTCAATAATTTTAATTTCTTAATGATATTATAACTTCTAATTGAATTGGGCTTTACACCAGGAATTATCTTTGATATCTCACAAAAAGTACATTTATATGCAAAAGAAAAGTTAATTTGTGTATGTCCGTCATTTATTATTAATATTGATCAGATCTAAAAGATGCCTGGAATTGCATAAATTCTGTTTGTTGACGTAAAATCTGCCGTTTGACAGTTGCAGCACCCACAGCAGTGTGTCTGGACCTTTTTATGTGTTATTTAGAGCTACATGACAACTGTCTCTGTGTTTATGTGCAGGTAAGAGCCCGTCGCAGCAGTTCACTGCTGTGATCCACACCCTCACCCCTCTGCAGTCCCAGATCTCACCCGTGGTGAAACTCATCATCGCTGTAGCCAAGTCCAAGTTCTGTGAACAGGTGGGCAGAGCGGAAGCACATTCAATTTAAAATCACTTCCGGTTTACAATATAAACTAAACAGTGCACGTTACTCCAGCTTTTGCAATGGAAAATATAATTTCTTATTGATTTTTTACATAAAACCTGGCTGTTTTAAAACCAGCATGCAGAATCTTTCACAGCATAATAACTACCTTCCTTTTCTGTCCCTCACATAGATAGTGGTTTTATGGAACTGCGACAAGCCTTTACCTCCTAGAAGCAAGTGGCCCTCCACCAGCGTGCCTCTCTCTGTCGTCGAAGGACAGACCAAGGTAACAGCTGCTGTCTTTTTGCATCCATTACTGTGTTGAAACGGACCTAAAAGCTGAGCGGTGAGACGTTTGTCTGCATGTTAAACAAGATGCAAGCCTAAAGGTGTGCCAAGAAATTAATCATATGTGATTAATAGCCTTGAGGTGCAGGGTCATGTTGGATATTGTATAAGAAGCTTATTGAAATAATTACTATTTAATTTGCATTGTGGTAAAACTGAACTATGGAATAAGGTAAAGTTTAGAGTACAGAGAAAAAATGAAGCGTACAATAAATAGAAATAAAAGAAAAGGAAAGGAAGTTTTGATTTGGAGCTATTCGTGTGAATCTGTGAAGATCGTTGTCGTCTTCTGGGTTATTGAGTTAATTTAAAGCAGAGGTCGCTCAACATTGTTTTTTCTATAGCCGATACCAACGCCATCAGCCGATGGCTGATTTTTATGTTCGATATCTAGATGGTTTCATGCTGAAATGTCACTTATAACATCAGTTGATTCACAAAACTTCTGAAACTGAATCAGTTTTTGAACTCTGAGTTTAACCAGCTGTTAAATGTAAATTTGTGCATCGTGTTGAAATCAGACATCTAACTAAAGTTGATCAAAAAAATCTAAAATTAGCAAAATGACCAAGTATTAAATATTCTAAACTGGTAAATATAATAAATTTTAGTTGAAAACTAATTATAAATATTATTATTATGTTGTTCAGGAAAGTAAATATACATTAAATAAAATTCTGCAGCAGCACTGGGCTGCCTAAGGATGTGCCTGATTTTAAACCGGCTTTTCGAAGGAGTTATAACAGCCAGATATATCGCCTGACCGATATATGAGTCCACTCCTAATTTAAAGTTACAATAGCAAATTTAAAAAACAAATTAGCTTCAAACGTTTTTTTCTAAGTCTCAACAACCATCTAATATCGTACAGCTATAAATGTATTGTGGAGATAAAAAAAAAATTCAATTCAAGTGGTTCTCTCACATTTGTCTAAAAATCTCCACCAATAAAACATTTCAGACCAAAATCAACTATTGGACCAACTGGCTGTCGGTGTCGCCGAATCGCCGCACTTCCCTGGGTCCACCATTCATCACACACTCTTGTGTGTGTAGCAACAGAAAACCACTGGTGTGAGAAGTTCTACGCTCATTAATATCGACTAAGGAGAAACAGCCAGCTGCCACCACTTCAACTTTAGGACAAACTACCAGAGTCCCAAAAAGAACAACACCAATTGAAGTCACGGACAACAAAAGCCAATTGGACACAAAAACGATGACTGGTGTTAAACACTCTCTCGTTTCCTCCGGCATCGCGGCAGAAGCATCTCAGGGAAGATATAGCTTGGCCTGCCAGACTCTACAGAGAGGACAAGTCTGGATACTCAGAGGCAGAGAGCCCCATGAGGGGCGGGACTAGCCAGCTCAAAAATAACCAATAAGAAAATAAGCAGAAACTATGACTGTACTGTAGTCAAAGATGGCATCTGGCAATGGTGCAGACATCTTTCTTTAGAAGAAAAGCTTTTAGTGTTTCTTCTTGTTGTTTTAATGACATGTCCAAGTCATTTAAATCATCTTTGTTGTTTATGAGAAACTGAGCATCGTGGTGTGTGACGTACGCTGCTCAGCACTGATTGGCTACCTTAGAATTCTCAGGGGGTGGGGTTATTTTATGGGAGCGTTGCCGGCCCTTTGCTTCCCATAAGGAAGCATTGGCATGGCTGACCAGGCTAGGGAAGCTGCCCGTGGGGAGGGCTGATTGTTCTGGGATCGTTTTTCCATTCAAAACCTAGCTTGTTCTGTAGATTTGCCAAAGCTGCTTTAAGAGAAAACATACATCCAGTCTTAAAGCTCACAGCTGTTCTGTGGGTTTGTTGTGTCTTCAATTGTTTCATTTCCTCATTAGTCTGAACAACTCGACCTCTTAAACACTCATCACAGGCTCACTAGCCAAGCCGCCCACACAACCTCCTCTGTCTGAATCTTGTTTTTGTCGCCTAATTGCTTCTGTTTGTTTTCATGTAAATGTCTCCCCCTTGAAATACGTGAACAATGTTTCCGCTGGTGACAGTAAAAAGCCTCTTGCAGTGTGTGCGGCCCTATAATTAGTCATGCTGTATGTTGTCAAGCTGCCAGGACAGATGCTCTTGAGTGTGTTCGCTTCAATTGCATGTTTGCTCCCACTGTAATAACAGCAAACATGCACGCACAGGAAGTGTCATTTGTCTCAGCGGGTTGCAGCAGCAGAGTAATGTGCTGTTGGTTATGACGGTTTCTACTCTGTAATGCTGAGTGTTATACTCCATCAAAAGCCTTCACTTCATCTCCGTTGTCAACATCGCATTTTGCTGACTCTACTGCTGTTAGTCTGTCAGATCACTAAAATAATAAACATTTGACTGAAATTAGTCATAAAAACAAGTCATTCATCTATCTATTAGGGATGGGATTTGCAAATATTAACATTTGAGCAATAATTTCAGCTTACTTGTGATAAAAACGGAATAAAATTAGTTTCTACTCCCTCTAAACATGACCACTAGGTGGTGATAATATGCTGAGTTGCTCACTCTGGCTTTCCACTGGATGTGAAACTGGTGCAAATGTAATAAGGCATGTTTTCCCTGTGTGTGCGTTACTACAAGGAGTGAAAAAATTCCATGAAGCTGCTCTCAAATCACCAGAGAATTGCATGATCATGCATTATTTAGGCAGTTTAGACCATAACAAGCAAGGTGAAAACTGGCAGCATGTATGGAGGCATCACAGACAGTTGGCATTTTTCCATTGTTGGAACTTCGGGGGAGATTGAGGTAAGACAGAAGTCCTCTCGGCTGTTGTCTCCATTCAAATTCAGCCCTTTCAGAACTTTGCACAGACGTCAGCATATTTGTCGGCAGTGAGTGATGTCACTGATCAGCGCCAAAAAGCATCCACAGCAATATTAATAACATAAAAAAGCTTATTTTTCTAAGTATATCATGATTTAATCCGTTGGGAAAACGAGAGCAGCTGCGAGATGTAATATGTGGCGTTTAATGACCAGATGAAGCTCAGGTTTTGACAACAAAGCCCTGTGAATTCCATTGTGTTTTCATGTGTTTGGAGTTTTAGACAATGTGGGGGAATTCTGCCGTGCTTTCCAGCATTGAGAGTTTAGTAAATGCAATTTTGAAGAAGTGCAATCGGTGCCTCTTTGCTTGTGCTTCCATTTTGCTTCACAAACACCTGTTGATTTCATTTCCTACTGAGTTACAACCAATCAGCGTGAGTTAACCAAAAGTTCTGCTCTGCAACTCTACCGAGCCATTCAGAGTACCAACCCCTGATCAGGTACTTATCAGGCCCAGTCAATTGGAGACAGTCGCATGCCTGGAAATTCTTGTAAATTGACCCTGAAGTTCCAACAGTGCCTGATGTTGTATATTTTTCTGGGTGTTTGACTTCCTGTCTGGCCTGATCAGAACTGCTGAGCTTGAAGTGTTCTGGAATCGTAGCACATACAATAATAGGTCCAAAGCATAAATGTAGCAGAGCAACACAACACTACGCCTTAAAGACGTGTCAGATATGCGCCACTCCACGCCTGGTAGAAACAAGCCCATTGACTACAACGGTGGTTATTAGCTGTGTATTACATTTTACGGACGTTACACAATGCTTTTGTTTTCAGGCAGGCATAGGTGGCCAGTATGACATGGTCTGGAAACGTATCATAGTATTATTAATAGTGGAGTCTCACAAAGTTAGCAGCTTCCAACACTTTAATATAACTTGCTTAATTACACAAATATAACTACAATTAAATAAAAGCACAAACAGCTTCCATTTGTACCATTTGATATCTATTAGGACTAAATTTTCAGGTGCACTTTTTTGGGGGGAAATAAAGTCAAGACTGCCAATTTGGCTTTTGATGATCAAACTGAGGTCCCAACCCCACCTAAAGGGCCCACCTGTCTATCCAGCACATTGGTGAACATGATACAATAAACGCCTACCACCTCCAGCCTGTCTGTTCTGAGGTGTAAACACGGAAGATACGTGACTTGAGACTTCCGGTCACCGGTCCAGAGAGGCACAAGTTGCAAACCTGGTTTTCTGGTGGCAAGACTACTCATTTAACTTGGATAGGGTCATTTCAGTAACTTCTGGCTTTGATTTCAAAATATTACAAAGATACTTAGTGGGCCTTTCAAACTTCAACACAAAGTCAAAACCTCAATGTTTTTTGTTGTTGTTTGACTTTTGCATGCGCTAGAGATGTTTTCTAAAAATAGACTTTTAACCATTTTTAAGTAAATTTGTTTAAAAAGGCACATAAATAATTCTAAATAACACTAGTTGTGCTAAAATGTTTGTAGCCCTGCATTTTAGAAACGTATTTATTTGAAGCTCAAGTAGACCCTTCCACCCCCCAATAAAACTATCCATGTTTTGTACCTCAATTTGTTCTCCTAACAGTTGAATAATTCACACTTTAATTACAAGTCAATAACTTGGGCAGCAGCCATCTTTAGGCTAATGGATCAGGCTCTAGTACATTTGCTGTTAGGCACTGAATTGATAAAGAGTCACACAAAAGCCATTAAGGGAGCTCGCTGATCGACAGACACACGGTTGGGGGGTGAAAACAAAAACTTTTGTTTATTTTGTTCAGATTATTTATGCCTTTCTACCAATTATATTAATTTAAAACTGACGTAAACAAGATGTCTTTGACCTTTAAAAGCGCTCTGCCTCAGTAAAGTTTAATTAATTCTTCTTTTTTTGCTGGTGCTATGGATTCATTAACTATACTAATCCACGACTGTGTCTCTTCTTCTGTGCAGACCATGAGCAGTCGTTTTTTCCCCTACAACACCATCATCACTGATGCCATCCTCAGCCTGGATGAAGACACTGTTCTCTCGACCAATGAGGTGAGTTTAAGACTACAAACAGGGGAACATAAGATCCTGATGCTTCATCAACTAAAGGGGCTGAAATGCTACCACAGAAAATTAAAACATTTAAATTTAAGTCATGTTTCCTAAAATTACTATTTCAGACCATTTATGTTTAGATCAGGAATGTTTCTAAGGAGCAGCTAAATATATAAGCTATAAGCTAAATAAATATCACGTTATAATGTAATAACTTTATTGCTATAACAATAAAGTGTTTGTATGTTAATACATTATAAAGTTCTTTCATTGCAATTAGAATATTGTAAAAATGTGAAAAGTATACTGTTAGAGCAATACATTTATTGTATTGTAACGTGAACTTTATTGTTTAAAAAATGTTGTTTTTTTACATTTGAACAATATACTATCATACGGAAGCATTCACTTCGGAAAAAACAACTGTTCTGTACGACGAGTATTGCTCAATCATTCTCGTGTGCTGTTATTGGCAAAACAATACGGGAAGTGTCTGTGCAATGTCGCAAAACTAATAAAAATACTCTATGTAGATAAGATTGTTAAGAATCCAAATCCAAAACTAAGTAAAAGTGAATTAAACTCAAACGGGCATGTTTAATTTCTAGCCAGTTAAAAAGGCCTTCGGGCAGATGTCTCCTTGTACGAATACTACAGAGATGTTTTTATTTCTTTTGAATTATTATCTAATTAAGAAAAATGTGTCTGAAGAAAGTTTGTCTTTTAAAATTATGATTATTCCAATATTAAATTTTTTTGTCAAGTGAAAACAAAACACTTCCATATATCATGTTATAATATTTATATTGAAAGAACCTGATAGTATAGTACAAAAAGTATATTGTTAAAACAATTAAGTTATCTTTAATTATTATTAATATGATTTTTTTTTACATGGATGGCATCTCTAAGCTTTCGTACCTATAAAGAAACACCTAAAGCCACAGTAGCCAGGAGTTTTGCTGAATTGTTATAGATGCATTTTTCTTACTTTAAATGTGAACCTTTCCTAAATCCAATAAAAAGCATCTGGGTTATTTCTGAAAACCCCATTCGATTAGTTCACGAAAAGCTGAGTCAATCACATATTTGTGTTTCCACAAGTCAAACAGCCTGTTGGTGGAAAAGTTTCCAGTCTGCAGAATTTCTTGTCAGCTAGTAGAAGAAGCTGCTGATATCCTAACACAGTATTGATCCCTTTGAAATGAGGCAATCAGTTCACGTAAAGTAATGAATACTATTTATTATAAATGAATTGCCCCACTCTGCCAAACAGCGCTGTGACCACTCAGAGGTGAAAACGGGCTTTGCTAAGATCAGACTAAGCAGGGGTAGAGAGCTTAGCAAAGCTAGAGTCAGAGTTATGATGACAGAGCTACTCCATCTCAGCTTTATTAAATCACGGCATGACAATTGATTATTGTTCTTTGTTTTCTACTTATTGCTGAGGAAAAGTGGTAAAAAAAAACAAAGACACGAATAGAGGTGGAAAAATGAAATAAAAGTAAAAGCAAGTGTAAAGGAGGGAGCTGGGGAGCAGACTGAGTAGGACTTAATGAAAAACAAGTGCATTGATGGAGTCAGGAGGTTTACCAGAGCCATTACCTCAGAGTCTGTATCATTACTCTGTCAAAACACTGAGCTCCTCTTTGATTAAAGTCCCACTTGTTATTTAAAGCGAGGATGAGACACACCTCAGTGGTTTGCTACGCTCACATTCATCTCAGGACAAATCAAAAACCACTGAATTGTCTAAATGAATGTCAAGAGAGGAAATTACAGTTGGTCTCCATTTATTTATTTTTTTTAACTTTGAAATGTTCGTTTGCATTGAGCAATAAACCAAGACAACTGTTTATAAAGATATATTTTTATTTGGCTTTCATAGACATTAAATCTCACAGGAAGTGTTGTCTTGTTCTTGCTAAAACATTTTGGAATATGGTGTCCACTTTAGGACATCTTTAGGTCTCATTGTTTTCCTCTTATCTGGGTCTGTGTCATGGGAAGCATTCCATTTCTGCCAGCTCATCCAATGGGAAACCAAAGTGAGAAAACTCATTTTGGCCGCTTGTATCCGCGATCTCGTTTTGGTCACTACCCAAAGCTCATGATCATAGGTGAGGGTAGGAACGTAGATCGACCGGTAAATCGAGAGCGTCCCCTTTTGGCTCAGCTCTTTTCACCACAACAGACCGGCACAACACCCGCATCACTTGCGATTCGTCCACGTTAAGGCGTATATGCAGAGGACGGTTTGATGGACCATGATCCAATCATTTACTCATTCACTGCCAATGAAGATAAAGTCTTCATTTGCATTTTTTTACTGTTCGGGCATCGGAACGAGCCCCCGCGCTGAGAGAACAAACATCTCAGCTCTGAAGCCGATCTTCATCTGCATACATCACACGTCACATGATCAGGAAGCAGAAAATCCATGTGTTGGGAGATCGTTTTGGGCCGTTCCTGTAAAAAAAGTGAGGCGTGAACCAGAAAAGCGTCTGCCGATCACAATTCAACAACGGATTATGAAAGAACGGATAACACTCGAAACATGTGGATTCTTCCTGATGTAAGAGGTGAGTCTCCGCTTTGTTTTGGTTGTTTGGGCGTCAACATCATCCTAGCGCGCAACGTTCTGTGACTCTTAAAATAACAGTAAAAATGGTGAGAAATGCTGGCAGCGAAGGGCTTCAGTGATATGGAAACAGCTGGCAGTGAATAAGTTAAGAACGGGACGTTGACAATGATTGGACGTTGGGTTTTTCCAGGATAGTACATTTCAGAGGCGATTAAAATGGTTTTTGTCTTCGAGAAAACACTTAATACATTTGTTCTCCTAGGTGTGTGAAGACAGCAGGAGAAAAGGAACATGTATTTGGAGTAAGTTGACAACAGTACAGCAAGATAAAAATCAAGACTAAACACTAAAGGGGGATGAGGGACAAAAATGTTTTGTAGTTCTTCGGACACCTTAAACCCAAATGTCAGGAGATTTGAAACAGATCTATAGCTGGATTGACCCTCTGATCCACAAATCAATTGTGGCCTTGTAGAATCTATCAGTGTGTATGAAACACACAAAGTTGTATTTCTCTCAATTCATGGGACATCTCTTTGCCTTATTGTGGATGCCAACATTCTGCATCTGCCATGATGGCTGTTCCCCCTCCTAAATGTCTACAGGCAGGATTTTATTAATCCTCTCAGCACAGCTGTGGGGACGTGTGACACATGTGGACGCACCACAATCATGTCACTTGATCAGAGGTGGCACTGAGAATGGCAGCTGCAACCTTTCTCTAAGCTTAGTTCTGCTGCTTTACAGTAATTGCTCACATGATTCATGACAGAAGCTGCAAGGTTTCACTAAAGAACATCCCCTCCACCTTTACTATTCTGGTAATTAATTTTCTGTCCTCCTGAGGTGGCGTGTGTGCTCCTGTGTGTGTATAGCCAAGTATTTCATTATGTGCTGATCCCCCTTATTCTCTGGTATATCTGCCTGTGCGCCTCTGGTGTTTTTGAATTCAAAAGAGGGTCTTTGTTAGATAGATCAATTCAATTTATATAGCGTCAAATCACGACAAGAGTTGTCTCAACGCACTTCACATAATTAACATTCCAATTCAGGTCAGTTCATTAAGCCAATCAGAAATAATGTTTCCTATATAAGGAACCCAGCAAATTGCATCAAGTCACTGACTAGTGTCAGTGACTTTACAGCAATCCTCATACTAAGCAAGCATAAAGCGACAGTGGAGAGGAAAACTCCCTTTTAACAGGAAGAAACCTCCAGAGAATCCTGGCTCAGTATAAGCAGCCATCCTCCACGACTCACTGGGGATCAAGAAGACAGATCAGGCACACACGCACGCACGCACACACACACACACACACACACACACACACACACACACACACTCACACACACACACACACAGACAAAGTCATGTGTCTATAGTTATACTGTGATTTCTTAGTAAATATTCTATTTGGTGAGAGATAAACTTTATTGTATTTATCCTAGTGGATCTATAATTAAACGGATAAACTAGTAGTAGCACATCCAACGTCAAGGAAAGCAAAAAGTTATTATCAGGACAGGGAAAATGTTTAAGTGGTTAGCAGCAGTGTGCTTGTTAGATTGCTGGTGTTAGTAGGTAGATGGACTGTATCAGGGAGGGAGTTAAGGGTGTCTTCCTGGGGTGTCGGTAAGAACACAAGTTCAGGCTTTATTTTAACTTGGCCTCTTTATTCTCAGGTGAAAAGTAGTAGCCACAACAATGCACAGGGGCACGCAGAACAATGATGCAGGGCTGAGCAATGAGTATTCTACTCTTTAAGAATTAACTGGGATGTTGGTAGGCGGGTGTGGTCTAAAGAAAAGAAAAGAATACAGGAAGAACAGATTAACATAAAATATATTCTGCCCATTTGTTCAAATACAACAACATAGTAGGAGAAAAAAACCTTCTAAACAGAAAATAATATCAGCAGGTCCAGATCACCTTGGTCTAAACAACCCAGTCTACATGGCCACACAAGCTAAAAACCCTCTGGGTAAACTGCCAGGGCAGACATGTTACAAGGAGGACATCTAGTGGCCATTTGAGGGATTTACCAACACTCAAATATTCTGAGATTCTAAACCAAATTACCCACTTTTACAGCTATAAACCACCTCACATCCAACACTGCAACCTACACGCATGCATAAAATAGGCAACAGGGACCTACACTCTCATACAAAAAGGTAGTGAAGATTCATGACAGAACTATCAAGCATAACTATGATATGAGAACATTCCAGAACACCACGAGGCAAACAAACTTATTCCTAACACATTATGTAAGCAGATCCAGTAAACAAAGGATTACTTACTTCGCAGTCATTCATGCACACAAAACTGACTTAACCTGGGAACTAGCTAAGTAAAACTCTCCTCCACTCTGCTGTCTCATGTGCTTCTCCACCTGCTCTGCACTGTCGT